CTGTGCTAAATAACTTTCTATTGGAAAAGTGTGGAAGCTTCAAATGTGTTATTAGCTTGCACAATTGTTCATTTGGTGAGGTAGTCTGCTGGTTGAATGTTGAGCCGCAGTGCAGTGGAATGTATGCAGTCAGTCATGGACTTGAAACAGATTTTTAAATATATAGCATGACTTTCTGAAGGTTTAGTATTTCTTAATGCCTGCTTCCTGTATCGACAAGTAGAAAAAATTTAAAGCGTTCATTCCAGTGATATGTATAAATCCAAAAAGTGAGAAGTGTCAAAAAGAGGATTTTCCAAAGTGCAGTGTTAACTTTGATCTAAGACCAAGAGCTAAAAATGTGCCAATGTCATAAAAACAGAGTTCATAGGATAATTCCACTTGGGAGTGACCTCAGGACATCTGTAGTTCCATGAGGTTGGTGACTGGGGACTGCACTATCTTTAAAAGCCACTTCTAGTTGTATTCAAAACACTTGAAAATCACCTTTTTGTGCTCTACGCTCTTCAACTGTTGCACTTGTACTGCTGTTGTCTATTCATACAGCAGAGTTTTGACCTCTTATGCATTTCAGGATTTCCGAAGACAGAAAAAATATTTATATGCACATAGGCACACTAACAAACATTCCTATGGTAAATGTGACTTCAGAAATGGATGGACACATTTTGAGGGTAAAGGTGACTGGATTCCACCTTCTACATCAGCGTGAGATACCAGATTTCAGAGCTTCACTGAATGCTGTTGTTGCCTCTAATGGAATCTTAGACAATAACTCATATTTAAATGTCAGTGATAATCCAGAATGAAATCCAACACTTTATAATTAATCCATCTGTCTAAATGTAGGTTTAGGTGCCATCTGATATGTTAGTGCATGTTCTATGTGCCACCTAGCTGCTAAGTCTCCTATGAGTCCTGTGTCATATCTGGCAGCTCCATGTAGGTATTGTGGATATACTAAGACCCATCAGATGATATCATCTCCTATGTTCAGGTGGCTAAATCAAGACTTTAGTGTCTTCAAACAAAGCAGCTGGATAGCAATTTCTGTGTGTGCAGTGAGAGTAAAGAGACAGAAGAAAAGAATTATTGACATGCAGGTTGTCAACATTTGGATATTTAGTGTCTAATTACTAATTATTCTTTTCTTGTTCACAATGTTGAAGTTTCAGAACAGCTAGATTTGAGACACAAATCAATAAGTCTTGCAATTGTATTCTACAGTCTCTTTCCTATTCTAGTCAAAGTGAATTTGGCAACACATATACATGCTTGAAATGTGTTAAAAAGACTACAGTGAATGGAAATAGTAATCTATGTACTTTTTCCATTTTTAGGGCACCAGTGTAAGAGAGTATTCATTCCGAGCTGAACCTGAAGATGCAAGCTTTATGATCATGTGTCAGATTTGTTGAGTACCGTGCTGAGTTGCAGACAATTATTTCTGTTATATGATGGAACATAGAGGGCTGAGGTGAGAGTTTTTGTCTTGCTGATATATTGCAATCTGAGCTCAGTGACAAGCAAGCAATGTTTGCATATCTTCCTTCTCAGCGTGTGGATTTTCTTTTTTTTTTTCTTTCTTTCTTTGTTTCTTTCTCTCTTTCTTTCTGTATTTTTTTTAATTCACTTTTAGCTTTATTTTCCCTTCCAGCTTCTCAACAATTACTAATAATGCATTGTTTGTTTTACTTAAACTGAATGACAATTTGCCATTAGGAGATGTTGATATTATCAAAATTCAAAATTCAAAAATTAAGAAGAATAATTCACAAGCTGAGCTTCAAAACCCACAAGAATTCATTAGAGGAAAGTTTTCTTGTCATTGAGAAAGCCTAGGGTGACAGACTTGAATAAACGGGTCTGTACTGCAGATGTATAAAGACAAATGTTATTGATACCACCTCTGCAACTTCCAGGGTTTTTAGGTCATTTCTCTTTTCTTATGGCACTGGATGTAGAGTGAAGGCACCAGGAATGCTCAGATGAGTTCATTGTTTTTATGAGAGAGGTGAGAGGAAGAATCAATAAAGCTGTGATGTTTGTCTAAAGAAAAAATGTAAGAACTTTGAAGTGGTTAAGCTAGATTCTGAACTGATAGGGGAATAAATGGCCAGCTCCATTAGAACCAGAGGCAGGTAGCAAATACACATGGGAGTCTGGAAGCTGGATTTGCTGGAGAACAGCAGTCTTGATGTCTTATCTGGAAGTGCTAAATAACTAAGATCTGATATGATCGACTCAAAGGCAAGAGCATTTCTTATTTCCTTTAAGCATAATTAATGAAGATAAGCAATCATGTTATACTGGTGATTGCAGTAGCAATAGATGTAAGCAATAGGCTTACATCTGAAGAAATTGCAGATGATTTACTTCTTGGCTGAACCTGGGAGAAATCACAGGCATATATTCTCATTATTTACTCAGCTTAGCATTGAAATGAGTAAAAACCTCAATGTTTTTCAGCCCTTCAGGAATGTGGACATTTAGCAATTTACCAGTAGAATTGCAGCTCCAGTTCCAGAAAGATAAGAAAAGTGGGGTACAGATCTGGTTAATCTAGTGTGGAAGAATTTCTTCTTTCCTTTGCGCTTTCTAAGAAGTGATCCATGGACATCAGAGCTCTGGAGAAGGAGACTACCAACGTAACAGCTTGAGTAGACTGCTTACAGGCTTACCTCAAAAATGATGTCATGAATGTGCAGCTTTAAGATGTTTTCACACCAGAGTTTTAAGTTTCATACTGTTTCAGTCTATTTAAATTAGGACATGTGACTCATGGTCTAGAACAATAAAGAATGCAGTGAAGTGAGATAATATCACAAAATAGAAAAAATAGTTCTCAAGGATGTAGGAGGAAGCTATGCTGTTTTCTTTTTTTGTAGAATCATAGAATCATAAAATAGATGAGTTGAAAGGGACCTTTAGGTCACTGAGCTCCAACCCCCTCGCCATAGGCAGGGCTGCCGCCCAGCACCTCAGGCTACTCAGGACCCCATCCAACCTGGCCTTGAGTACTTCCAGGGATGTGGCTCCCACAACTGTTCTGGACAACCTGTGCCAGAGCCTCGCTGTCCTCTGAGAAAAAAAATTCCTTCTAGTATGTAATCTAAATCTCCCTTTTAGTTTAAAGTCATCCCCTCTGGTCCTATCACTGTTAGAGTGTGTAAAAACTCAGTCAGCCTCCCATTTATAATAAGTTCCCTTCAACTACTGGAAGTTCACAATGAGGTCTCCCAGGAGCCTTCTCTTCTCCAAGTTAAACAAGCCTGTCTCCTTCAACCTGTCTTTGTAGGAGAATTGTTTTTTCTTTCTTTCTTTTTCTTTAAAGATATTTTCTCTCTTGTCATGCACTTAAATGTATAGGATTATTTTTTTATGACCATGCATATGTTCTTCATCCCCAGATTTACAAACATATGAGCAGCAATGGGCAAACCCTAGTCCTCTCATATTATGCCTGACATAACAGATCATGATGAAGTTTAGTGATAACTGTCCTGGAAAACTCAAGGACAGAAGCCGTAGGCTCTTATGTCCCTTTGCTCATAGCATTGGTTAGTTAGACAACTATATGTACTTACATTTGAGAGGCATCACAGAAGTATTTAAAAGAATTAACATGAATTATTAGACAGGCAAGTATGAGAATATGTAACTGATGAGTCTCAACCATGTTGAAAATGCAGGAGCCGACAAATCTCCATGGAAATCTTGTAGCTGCATTTTGAAGCTTATGCACCTCTCTCATGAATGCAATTATTTAGGTTTTACTTTAAAATAACTGGAAAACTTACAAGCATGGCTTCCAAAACAAACCTGGCAGGTACTCTCAGCAGCTGGAAGGGCGAATGTAAAATAGCATATTTTCAAATCAATAAATTGTGTGAAATTCAAGTGCTGAGGAGAAAAACAGGGCCTGATGATTAAATGTAGAGAGCTGTCATTGCTGCATTATATTAAAATAACTTGCTTCTAGCAAACCACACACTATTTCTTTCTTTAAATCTGTCAGTTTTTCAGGAGTCTGTTACTCTGGCTGGCTGCATCAATAGCTTTGGAGCTATGTAAGTTTCACAGTGAAGAGGGCACTTACAGAAGGACTTTGCATGAACGGTGGGGGACCCGTTAACCACTGAATGTCCACTGCCATGTGCAGGTCGTATTTCCCTGTGCCTTACTGAGACTCGGTACAACCAGAAATTGGAAGTAGAAATAATTTTCAGATGCATTTTTAAGTCACAGCAAAGCTCTGGGCAGAACAGAACTCATTTGTTTATGGATTGTTATCATTAATAAACAGATCAGAGACTTATTACTGCCTCAAGCACAGCACTTTTAATAATGTCCAAGGCAAATAGCTTTTAAAGCTGCAAACAGCAGCACAATGGAGCTGGCCTGAACGAGCAGAAGAAAGAGAAATAGCACGTCAATGGCAAAGTCCCTGACACTCGGAGAATGAACAGAGGTTTCTCATTATAAAGACTGCTCTTTCTTTGCACCCTTTTCTCCCTGAAACAGACTGGTGTCCTCCAATAGATCTCCATTAAGTTTGTGCTTTTTCTTGAAGCTAGAGGCATATTCTCTTCTACTTGACCTCTGGGATTTTTCTTTACTCCACAAAGGGCAGCTTTAATATGTCTTTGTGAGAAGTGATTTTCCTGCCCCATGAAATTTTGTGTCTTAAAAATCGAACAGAACTGCCTTTTCTTTCCACAGTGATTTATTTTATTGGTGTGTTTTTCACAACCAGACTATCAGATATTTTGGAGATAAATGTCTGTATGGTTTTAAATAGGTGTGTAATAGCATAATATATGCATCTCTCTTTCTTTTTTCCCTGTTTATAGGGCTCCCCAAAATTTCAGAGGACTATAGCTTTTTTTTTTTTTTTTTTTTTTTTTTTTTTTTAAGTGGATCAGAGGAATGGTTTCAGTTGCCAGGTTAACTTAGGAACCAAGGGGATTCAAACTCTCTCTCCATCAGCTAATCAGACCCATTTATGTGGCATGGAGACTGAGACAGACATCCTCTGTACAGATTCTCTCAATTTCCAGAGATTTCTTGCATCCCATCCCCTGAAAAAACCTGCTCCCAGTGGTATTCTGCCTCAGCCTATGTTTTCCATTGAACTGGTGGGTGTACAAGAAGCACGTCTCTCCTTCCAAGCGTGCAGATTTCTTCACAGCCTGGAGCTGGCTGAATGGCTGTGAAAACCATGCAGGTAAAATTGAGTCAATGTAGAAACCATTTGTGTGCATTCTGAGGGCATTTACATGCTTGATGTGTATTTGTGCTTGTGTGAATGTTTGTTGCATGGATAGGCATGTCACATTCATTTAGGTAGCTCTTCTTTTGGAGGCAGCTGTGAAATTAAGAGCTTTTAGAGTTCACCAGTCCAGTTAAGGAAGGGCTAAAGAAGGTAAATGCAGGAAAAAGGGACCTGAAATGAGAAATAAGGGGAAAAGAAGAGGCAGCTCTTGAAAATGTGTAGGATTGTATGGTAAGGAATAAAGCTTGTGCAAGCTTTATGATAGGGAACAGGGCCAAGGAGTGAGGTGAGAAAGTCTGTGAATTTATCATCTTGTAAAAGAAATGAGATGAAGGCTTTTATCAGGGAAAAACTGCACCTCCTTTTTTTATGGCCTCCTCAGGTGAGAGTGTGCACAGATGCACAGATGAGATGTGGAGCAGCAGAGAGGTCTGAACCATAGGCCAGCTGCTTCTTTTTCTAGACACCCTTCTGTATTTATTTTCGTCTTGTGAGAAAAGGTGGTCTGAGTAGGGTAATCAGGAATTGTAAATACTGAGATTATGGTATCTTACCCTCAGATTGTGTAGGTAGAAGTAGATGAAAAAATGCATCCTCTGATAGTCTATTTCTCTGGGAAGCTGTAAGTAGTCCCAGCTACTTTGCAGTGTCTGAGTAGCAGGCTGTCCCAAAATTCTGGAGGAATAAACATAAGGAGTTAGGGATGGGTACAAAATGAAAGGATTTGATAAGTTCTTCTTGTCAACAGCAATGCTATTAATGACTTAAAGTGGGGGGAGAAAAGGAAGCACCCCAGAAAATGCTGAAGGGTGTATGGTATTACTTGTCTTAAAATAGAATGTATGTGAAATATATGTAATACTTTTCCTATACTTTTAAAAACGATTATATCTGAGGGCATTTCTCCTTACATTTGATCTTCTCAACTATTTGAGTGCTTTGCTTGCAATTGTTTTCTTTGTGGTAGATATCATTGCACAGCCTATGCCTTAGCCCACATTACATAACTCACTGGATGATGCTAGTAGTGGTTTGCAACTAATTGATGTATCTGTGTTGTATTTTCTGTAAAATCATATCCATCTGTGTAGACGATTTCAGTGAGTTTTAACAGGGTCTCTATAAGATGTTATTACTTCTGTCATGCAGAGACAACTATATAATGATTTGCATAATTACAGATGGAAGAAAATGTTAGCCTGCATATTTAAAACTGTTATATACATTTCCACCTCATTAAAGAAAATCACTGGAGCTAGGTAGCATACTCAGGTTGGAGGTCAGGTGGCAAAGCATATAGATAACATAATCAAATTTTCTAGTGCTAAAGAGTTCCAGCTGAACAAAACCAATAGAACTGTCCTTGCTAGCTAAAAAGTTGCAGAGGAAAACTCATTTAAAGAGTGCTTCTGTGAACACACACATTTCTTTCTGTCACAGTATCTCTAACCTTGGGGATCAGTCACTTTGGATGTGCTAAAGAGATGCTTTCATAAATAAGTGATGATAGGCTTTAATATAATTAGGGACCTTAATGGGCGAAGTGGAAAGAAGGTTACAGTACTTGTGGTGTGAAAGCAAGGGGTTTCAATCTGCAATTCAGATATTTTCTTCCTCTGTCTAAATCTGATACTGTGTAAATTTTTGCTGGTGAGCATCCATGGAGTTGCTGAAGCCTATAAATATGTCTCAGTCCTTTTACATGCCATGACCATAGCAGATATGGAAGGAGGCAAATTCTTCTCACATCGTGCTTGTACTTTTACCCTTATCTTCCAAACACCTCAAATAATTTCTGAAGATGGTCCTATCCATGAGAAAATATGTGTTCTTCTGCTGTGTTTATTCAAACTGAATGGTTAGAATGCAAAATTAATTTAGGTAAGATGCTTTCCTTTTCTCCATTTTCGCTCAATAACATCATTTGGGGGTGGATCTAAATTAGTATATAGGAGAATGACTGGGAAGAAGTGTAAGAAGTAAACATTGATATTTGTTAGCTTGCTCCTAAATCTGTCCCAGATTGTTTCAGCCAGTTTTTTTTGAAGGAGTGATCTCTTGCAAGAGATTGATCTGAAGTGGTGTGAATGTCATCCTTAGTCTTGGAACAAAGCATGTTTCAAGCACAGATTCAATTTAGAATCCCTGGAAAATTACACTGTAGAAAGAACTCTAGGATATACAGCCCACTTATTCTCATGAAGTGGAGTGGGGCTTATAGCCATTGAGGAGATTTTGACCTGTGTGAGGTTATGTGAGACATCCCTAGCAATACCCTGATTTAGATAGGATTATCTAAACTCTGCTCCAATTCTCTCCACAATTGTTTTCATTGGATCAGTGAGATGGAGAAGATCCTTAGAAGCAGAGAACTTTAGGATAAAATAACACAGTGTACCTCAAGGCTGGAAATCAGTGCTAAACAGAGATACATGCTCTGGTATCAGAACTGTAGCTTTTTGAAGATGGTTGTCTATCTGGGCTTTTGTTTGGTTGTCTACCAACAGTAACTCAGGGTACTGCATTTCTGTTTGGTGCCTCCATCTTCTGATCACTAAGATCTCATAAATGTTTCTAAATGTCACGTCCTTCATACAGTTCTACTTACATCAGATGGATTTGATATGAGTGCTACAACAAGTGTTTTTGAAATTTGCAATTTTTGTTGTGGGGGTGTAACTGGTATTCAAATAAGCAGTGCCATGCAAATGAATATTATATAAACTTGGTGAATCACACCAAGGTGTGAACTGCACAGCACCTAACTCATTATACCAGGAGGAAAAAAAAAAAAAAAAAAAAAAAGAAAGCAAAAAAGAGTCAGAAATCTTCGAACATGAATAATGTCTTTCAAAATACCCAATTATATTTTCTAACCAGTTAGTTTACTTTGTGTATGCATCATTTATGTATTCTCTTATATCCTGCTAGGTTTTCAATTACAGAACTGTAAATGGAAGATTTTGTAATAGCTGCTCACATGGGAAATGTAGCAAACACCAGAGCAACATATTGATGCAGAGAAAATCCAAGAAGTGGGGTAACATTAAATTGGTCCTAGACCCCTTTTTTTTCTAGTAGCAGCTTCCCTGGTGATTTTAGCAAAGATGTGGAAAAATCATGTCACTGGAAGGCAGTGGTAATTTTGTCACTGAGTCAGTACCATGAGATTTTCTCTGTGATACTTATCATTAGATAAAAGCACTGAGTAGTGGCAAACTGATTGATCAAGGTCATTATAAAAGCACTTTTTGAAATGCAGGCAGCAATGTCCCAAAATGGCAAGCAAGTTCTAGTTCTGTCATTTAGATGCATGAGCAAAGCTTCAATAAACAGAAGGAACTGTGAACATTTATAAAACTCCTGCTCTGGATCTGCTGAATGTAGCCTCGTTTGTCAATCTGAGGCCCCGAAAACTCAACGCTGAGATGCTTCCCAATGAATTTTGATTCTGCAAGGAGCTACTCACCACAGGAACAATTTGTCTTTAGTCTGACTTGCTCGGATTTGTAATGCTTTACCTTTTCATTTTGTATGCTGGCCCCAAGCAAAAATGTGAGCAATCCATTGCTGAATCACCCTATCTCATGCAAAACCTGTTTGAAGACAAAAGAGATGATAACACATATTTTTGGGAGAACACTATGTGCATTGTTAGTTGTATGCCAACCTCCTTTTCATTTCAGAATATTCAACAGATATCGATGAATTTGATGTTTCCATAATGTCCAGAATGACAATTTTATATCTGTTGATTCATCAAATGCTCCCCTTCTGGCTATTTCTGTTTAATATTAATGTTTGGAAGCTCTTTTCAGGGTTATGGCTTCACGTACACTGCCTATAACACAAACACTTTTCTATCTAAAAAGGCAAAAGGAGTTGGATAAAGTCAAATGGGAAGTACGACATGAAAATGTGATAAACTTGAGATTTTGAAGATGATTCACAAAAGGTGCCTTGGTAGAGCTTCTGAGAATTATTTCCCAGTCATGGAGAAGAGCAAAGATGAAGATGTAACAGCTCCTCCTTGAAAGTGCAGAAAATGTATGGTGGAAGCTCTGAGGTCAGATATTTGGTAGGATGGTGGTCTAAAAGGAAGTAGTGAGGGATGAAGAATGCATTTTACTCACGTTATGCCTTGTCTCAGATGAGACTCAAGCTCTTCATTCCTTCTTTTTCTGATCTTCTTTTAAACCTGAAGCTTTCTTGCGTATCTAGTGGTACAACAGTAATTAAGGAGCCTAATTCCTTGTGTTTAATCCTCACTGCCAGAAAGTTGCTAATGTCCCCAGATTTGCCAGTTTGAGGGTGTTTTTACCCCTAGGTGGTGCAAAGACCTGTTTCTGTGAACACACTGGTTTTATGAAAGCTCTGGTTCTAGTGGGTCACTGAAGAGGGGCAGGAATTGCCATGTCTACCTGAATGGATCTTTAAGAAAGGCGTCTCTTGTTGATCTGTTTGCAACAGGAAGCAAACATTTTGGAATTTCTGGATCATTTTCTCCCTATAAGCCAAGGATCTACATCTGATTTAGGAGTCTCAATTAGTTGCGTGGCATCTGGACTATCACTTTCTGATGAAACACTGTGTGAGATACCGAAGGGAAAATTAATGTGTGTTATCATCCCATTTTTGGCATTGCTTACTACTGTGTGTACAAATAGGTTGCCTCCTCAAACAGTGAGTTACAGATGCAGTTCACCTCTCTTATTACTTGATCATAAAGTTCCTACAGTCCGCTTTGAACTTTTTTTCCATTTGAGACCACGGTTTAAATGACTCCGCTATGTTACCAGTTCAATAGCTGCATGACAAACTTCAAATTTGTGTATATCAATCAGAGTGAAAACTCTGATTGATAGGGATATCCAGGGATACTACTACACTTTACTACTCCAGGGATAGGAGTAGTAAAGTGGATGAAGAGCCCTTAGCCTAATCCTGCAGTG